TAACGAGAGTAGACATAGTGTGTGTAGTCAGCAATCCGGTCTAACGAGAGTAGACATAGTGTGTGTAGTCAAACATTCCGGTCTAACGAGAGTAGACATAGTGTGTGTAGTCAAACATTCCGGTCTAACGAGAGTAGACATAGTGTGTGTAGTCAAACATTCCGGTCTAACGAGAGTAGACATAGTGTGTGTAGTCAAATATTCCGGTCTAACGAGAGTAGACATAGTGTGTGTAGTCAAACATTCCGGTCTATCGAGAGTAGACATAGTGTGTGTAGTCAAACATTCCGGTCTAACGAGAGCAGACATAGTGTGGTTAGTCAAACATTCCGGTCTAACGGGAGTAAACGTGGGTTGTGTCTTAAGAGGTTAAGCACATCCGTTGAAGCTAAATATTCAGGAAAAACGTAGTTGTACAGTCTAACTACCTTAGATAATACTTTTATGGGCAGACATTATGGTCTAGCAATGTAATTGTTCTGGTAACTCAATATTTCGGCCTACTGAGAGTAAACATCGTTTCTGTAGCTGAATTCTCCGGTCTTACGAGGGAAATATTGCATTCTTAACTAAATATTCCGATATAACGAAGGAAAACTGTGTGTCTGTAGTTAGATATTCCGAACTCATGAGGGTAAACATTGTTTCTGTAGTTAAACACTCCGGTTTAACGAAGGTAAGCATCGTTTCTATAGTTAGATAATTCGGATAAACGTGGATAGAAAATAATAGTTTCAGTGTGGATAGCCACACATTCTGCTCTTCTACTACAAGGCTAAGTACGTTATATAATTGATCTCTTTATCTTAGCTGAAAATGATTTTTCAAAGCTATTAATATTACCACACAATATGTTCAAATGTTCACGTTTTTAGATTTGAGGAGTAAAAAAATGAAAATATAAAATTATACACGAAAAAATTCGCCAGCTGCGTAAAATGTAAAACCAAGTTAAAAGGAAACATTTTGCCATGGTATTATATTTCAATGTACACCAGGACGATAATTAGATAATTACTAATACAAAAAAGTAAAAACCTTTCATTATCTCCCTCAAACACACAGACACTTCCTAAATTATGCACCAGTATACGAAAATTTGAAGCGTGCGGATCTGTAGTTTGATAAGTTGGCCGGGTTTGGTGTTCGTTTGCTGGCTGATTCGTGAGAATTATGATGTTTGCGGGGTTTTTTTTTCCGCTGGTCACTTTTTTCTGTACATTTGCTGGAATTAATTATAATTCGGTTGTTGTTTTGTCTTGCGTAGGATGTAGTTGTAATTTTGTTGTTGTGGTTTTGTTGTGTGTAGGGTGTATGTGTAGTTTGGTTGTTGTGGTTTTGTTGTGTGTAGGGTGTATGTGTAATTTTGTTGTTGTGGTTTTGTTGTGTGTAGGGTGTATGTGTAATTTTGTTGTTGTGGTTTTGTTGTGTGTAGGGTGTATGTGTAATTTTGTTGTTGTGGTTTTGTTGTGTGTAGGATGTAGTTGTAATTTTGTTGTTGTGGTTTTGTTGTGTGTAGGGTGTATGTGTAGTTTGGTTGTGGTGGTTTTGGTGTGTGTAGGTGTATGTGTAATTTTGTTGTTGTGGTTTTGTTGTGTGTAGGGTGTATGTGTAATTTTGTTGTGGTGGTTTTGTTGTGTGTAGGATGTAGTTGTAATTTTGTTGTTGTGGTTTTGTTGTGTGTAGGGTGATGTTGAATTTGGTTGTTGTGGTTTTGGTGTGTGTAGGGTGAAGTTGAATTTGGTTGTTGTGGTTTTGTGTGTAGGGTGTATGTGTAGTTTGGTTGTGATGGTTTTGTTGTGTGTAGGGTGTATGTGTAGTTTGGTTGTTGTGGTTTTGTTGTGTGTGTGTATGGAGTAGTTGCAGTTTGGCTATAAGCTACTTGAAATTGCAATTTACTTGTTTGCTAAGTGGAGTTCTAGCTTTATTACTTGATGAGTAAAATAATAATTGTTTGTTTTCTAGGTGGAGCTGTAGGTTGGTTAATTGGTGGGTAAAATCAGAGTTTGGTTGTTCGCTAGGTGGAGCTGTAGGTTGGTTAATTGGTGGGTAAAATCAGAGTTTGGTTGTTCGCTAGGTGGAGCTGTAGGTTAGTTAATTGGTGGGTAAAATCAGAGTTTGGTTGTTTGCTAGGTGGAGCTGTAGGTTAGTTAATTGGTGGGTAAAATCAGAGTTTGGTTGTTTGCTAGGTGGAGCTGTAGGTTGGTTAATTGGTGGGTAAAATCAGAGTTTGGTTGTTCGCTAGGTGGAGCTGTAGGTTGGTTAATTGGTGGGTAAAATCAGAGTTTGGCTGTTCGCTAGGTGGAGCTGTAGGTTGGTTAATTGGTGGGTAAAATCAGAGTTTGGTTGTTTGCTAGGTGGAGCTGTAGGTTAGTTAATTGGTGGGTAAAATCAGAGTTTGGTTGTTCGCTAGGTGGAGCTGTAGGTTAGTTAATTGGTGGGTAAAATCAGAGTTTGGTTGATTGGTGGGTGGAGCTGTAGGTTGTTAATTGGGTAAAATTAGAGTTTGGTTGTTTGCTAGGTGCAGCGGTAGGTTGGTTTGGATTAGATTGGAGTGACTGGTTCGCTAATGTCTCGGTAAAGTTTTAACAACATATATGTACCCCTTTCTAACAAGTCTCTCTTCCTTGATATTTGATACTGTGTATTTCATCACCAACCTGTTTGCAAAAGCATCTCAATTCATTAAGAATTTCGAATTAGCCGACGCCGATGTCAGAGCACTTTTCCATATCTATATATAAGACGGCCACGTCATATTGAGAATGTGAAAGCATTTATTGCAAAAACTTAATTAGGCAGTAGAATCATTGGGGAAAATATTGAAGTAAAATAATAAAACAAGATGAAAAAAGGCACGACAATTTTTACAACGAATCATACACATCCGTGCGCTCAAAATGCTTAAATTACGAACCTGTTATGCTTAGATAAACACAAACAATAGACATTAAGCACGATGAAAATCTTACTTTGTAGTTTTGTGTGTACAAACCAGACGGAAAGTTAAAGCAAATAAGCGATATTTAAAAATTCTAATTGTCAATAGTCATAAGTTAAAATGAAAAGACCAGTCGGAGACACAGATAGAGTTTTCACATAATTTCCCGTGCCCGGAGTTTTTAATACGGATGAAACACGACACTATCGTGGTGTTCCTGTCTTCATGATACCACTCCTTGTAGAAACCGCAGCCCGATGCGGCTATATTGTCATAACAAATAGATATCCACCTAGAAACTTTTCGTTTTACACAATAAAAAAATTGTGCACATAAAAAAGTACACACACGCCCACAGATATGTACAATATGTATGTGTCCAGCACCTGCGACTGAATAGAAATGGATTTCAAGAAATATTTTTTTTTAAAGTTATGTGATACAGAAACCACGCGACGGGCTCTCATAAAACCCAGCATTAGATAGCAACTTAACAATAACTTTTCAACAAATGAAACTCATTTCCAAACAATTCTTTCCGAACATATGGAAAGCCGTTGCCGTCAGCTTCTTACAAACAAATTTTTGGCGACTCATCGCGACTTCCATACATAAACAGAGTGGCGGAGTGTAGGGGTTTAATAAAATCGGATTATTTCATTACATAATCGTACATGACCAATAAATCAGTTGCAGTTTGTCGGATTAACGAACGTACGTTATCGAACAAAATTTTAATATTGGTCGGGTAATTTAAAAAACAAAAGCAAGATAAAAAACTTTCGATTTCCAGAATGCAGAAATTGAGTTATGCGCTCAATGCTACTTAACAATGGTTGATAGGTCTGATATCATTAACACAATAAAGCATTCAGCTTGTGCCCAATTCCCTTGTTCAAATTTATTTTGGCAATAAAATATGTTTAAACTAAAAAGCATTCAGCGATGATATGGATTTTGAAAATTGTAAATTATTCGATTCTTGTGAAATTTTAAGAAAGACAAATGAATTGGATCAAATACCAATAGAAACCGCACGGTTTCCACAAATAGCTGAATTTTTAATCTCATGAGCATTTCAGCTGTCTTGCATGCTTTCGACAAATTGAAATATCAAGTTGTCTGTGCGGAGAATATATTGCGGATTCCTTTATCTGGAAATCGTTAATCCGAAAATGTTGGTGAACGAAGACAAATATTTTCAATGAGCTTTCATTTTTATCGATCAATTATAGAAATATTGTAATTCCAGATATATATTTTCTTTCTTTCTTTTTCTTTCTTTCATGCTTTCTTGCTTTCTTTCTTTCTTCCTTTCTTTCTTGAATTTTCAAAATCATCAGCATTATTGAAAGTTCATGATGTAGAGCTACAGATTTTTGTTATCTACTGAGCAAGCTGTAAAAAGAGAAATATAAAAAGGGCATAGTCTAATTGTACGCTAAGACATATTCTTTGGCTGCTTAAAACCAAGCTTCACCTCAACCAACGTCTATAGTAAAAGTATTTCATAGCACCACGAGTTTAATCTATATACCTTACCGTTATACGTACGTAATAAGTAATCCAAAACGAAACAGTTCACGTACATACACCCGCGAAAAATCGGCGAGTGTATATATAGCACCTTTTCTGTAGTAACATTCGTTTTTTCGAATTTTAATTTTCCAACATCGATTCATGCGACATTGCATTCATTTAATCTTTCATGCGGCACAAATGTCGGATCTATCGATGTCAGGTAACAGACCTACTTTAACTTCAATAGTCCTCATCACGACGAGTTGCTATGCAGTATAAGTCTCTGAAATTCGAAAACAATGTCTAGAAGCGTTGTAGAGTATATGGACGCACAATACGGCGTAAAAAAGGAAGGAATATCCCATAATGCATCAGTACCACAACACGCACATCCTGTAAAATTTAAATTCACCAGTATTTCCGAATCAGCAGTAATCCATTTTCTCACTACATGCTTTACCACAACTATAATTTGAATCACACCTCTCATAACATACTTCACTTCTGGACTTTGTGCCAGAAAAGAGACATTTTCCTCTTAGACTACCGTTTCTCCCGCCCCATATTCCACACTATTGCTTTCCTGCACGTGATACAAATGACCAGTGTCCTCGATCCGTTTCCGGGCGATCTTCACCAGATTTCTCTCTTGAGATCCAATTGTTCGTTTGATCTGCTCGGACGTATCCTGAAAATCGAACACATCGCCTCTTTCGCTTATACGAATATTGTGTTCGATTTCAATCATATTTTTGCCTTGTAGAGCCTTGACTGGCGTAACTCGCCGAGTTAGTAGTTTGCCCACTTCCGCAAGCGCGTAATTTGAATCATTCTTACCTTCATTTTCCTCGTGACAGCTTGAGTACTCCGCGAGTGCGTAATACTGATCGGGATGATCTTGTATCTCCTGGAATGTACACGGCACACACACACATGCGGAGTTGATCTTACTGTGGAAAGTTGTCACGACCGTACTGTTCGCAAGACGCAAAAACCGTCTGTCTGATATTGATGGTCGATTATGTTCGACTTTGAGACAATTGTATTCCTGTATAACGTTCAGTTTGCCATGGTCGTGGCCGCACATGTCACACGGGCACGCGCTATACGTGACACCCACGCTCCGGGACTGAACTTCTTCTGTCCTTATCCGTCTTATCATGTGGTTTATGCCGTTAAATTTTTTCACAATTTCATCCAAATTTATCAGCAAGGATTCCTCGTCCCCTTCTGCATGCGAGACGACAGTTGCCTCCCCTTGGTTGTTGTTATGGAAGAGTTCCCGATCACATAGAGGGCAACACCATGCTGACAAAGGATATCGCGCAACATACCGGCGCACGCATTGGTGACAAAGCACGTGCCCGCACGGAAACGTGTCCGGGAATTGTGTAATTTCACGAGATTTTTCGTACTCCTCATGCCTATGCATGTGCGAGGGGGAATAATCCACCGGCTTCCCTCCGACACTGACGTCATATAATTGTAGTGTCCCATCTTCCCTTGCCATATCAAAGGGTTTCACTATTTAACTGTCGTGACCGAAATGTCTCCATACCGAAATTTCATTACGGCACTACTACCACATGTCCCGTGCACTGTTAACTACATAGTGAACGAAAGGTTTCTATCGATGGTGTTGTATGTGGCCGTATAGTTGCTTCTCTCGCCCTGTTGTGATAAATATATAATCGTACAGCCCATATATGTATGCGATATCTAAACAGCGCTGAAATACCCTCTGTGCATACATATATGTATTTAACAGCGCCCGGTGTCGACTGTGGGACAATATCACTTCACCGGTAAAACGGCTGGCCAGTCGATGTTAATCAACAATGCTTGCCATCCGGTCAGAACATAATATTTCTAATTCAATTCTCCTGTGTACACATCATGGTTCTATATTCCTAACCCTGGGGTTACACAGCACAGGTATAAACGTCTCCACGGCTCGCTCACCTTGATTGGAGTGGTTAGTTACCTGTATATTCGCTTATATTAGACGCCTACAGCACACAGCCATATGTCACCAGGGGCCCTATGGTATGATACATATAGTGAAGCAGTTCTGTAATGCTATATATATATAATTTTGCCTATGTTTAGTTGTAAGCCCATATCCATCATGCACTCCTTAAGTTGAATCACGGTGAACAACAATGAACACTTCAATCCTACTGTTTTGTATCCGAATTAATATTTTTGCAGCAATACCATTTGACTTTAAGGAAGTTTGTCAATTAAGTCCAATAATGCCTAGTATTGTAACAATCGAGTATCCATGTTCTAGCACGTGCTTCCACACAACCGTTTGCTGATCAATTGAGAAATACCACTGTTATAAGTTTTGCACCACGTTTCACAATAGTAACGTGAGTATATCATAATAACCATGTTAGCTTCGATTTAGTCTTGCAATAAAAAGCATTCTCATAGTATTTCACACGCAAAAAATGTATACAGAGAAGTTAATTGCTTAGTGAGCACGCGACCCCCGCAATTTCCGCCATTGGAAACCTGCGGACACACTTGATCCTTGATAGCTTATGTATCTATTTCCCTGGAAAGCGGCGAGTTGAAATCCAACCGTCTATATGTCGTTGTATATATGTATAGTTCCTGGGTGAAAAATCAAATAACATTAACTTCAAAACGTGCGTAAAAGTTGGCCTCTCCATCAGCCCTGTCACTATTACAGCTGCTTCTACGTATCTCAGAGAGGCAGACACAGCACAAGTTCCGTATCAGGAAAATATTGATTGGAACACCAGAGTTTCATTGACAATACTCCAGACACCTAACTTGGAGATTGAGTTTGGTAAACTGCCATAATATCTATAGTACTGCCGCACGATTTTTTACACTTCCGGTTAGGGAGGATTATGGGAGATTACACGGAAGAAATCATCAGAGCCACGGGCGAAAAAAACCGCTATTTTTCACGCTATTCTGACGTCAGATTGGGCCGCAGTCTTGAAGAAACCGAGAGAATTGGTTTATTTTGGAAAGTAAATTGGATAGTTTCAGAATGAAAAAGAGATCTTTGCCCAAAGCGAACCGAACGTGATATATTCGTCTTAAGATTACAATCTACGCGGTGTGGGTTTGATTAAGGACAATTATTGAGGGAGCATGGGCTTGTAGGAACCTGGGACAGAGATATAGTGACCGGAACGACATTTCAGTTCAAATATATTCATCAATGTAAAAGTCAATCAATTGATAATTATGACATTAAATATAAAATTATTCTGTTTTGTATCAGAAAACGAGACACTGGTAAATATTTAGAAAATAGAAATAAGGCACCACAATCGCTGATTGTTTCTGGAATAAATTTTGAGGCTATATTCTGTGTTCACTAAATATAATATGTAGCTTATCAGCTTAGAACTGTTTTGTGTTGCAACACTTTTTGACCAGTTCCTTCGTTATTGCTAGCTTGATGTTATCTTTGCCATTATAAGGATAACATCACTGATGTGCGTGCGTTTACCTTTAAATATGTGTAATCTCAATAAATCGACACTGTTATGAACACCTGATACAGAACACGTTGTAGGTATTGAACATTGCAGCAAAGCAGTGCGTCATACCTGCACGCAGTGTAAACAAGGCATGCGATTTTGTGATTAGATATTGTGGAGGTAAATCATCTTGGCTTGTCATGTCTTCACTTATAGGAATATGTTAGACTTGTAAGTGTGACAGAATAAAATAAAGCATAAATAACTTCATGTACTACCCTCTTTTCAAACCAGTTCTATAAATTATTCCGGCATCCGTATTTGTTAGATCTGCCCATCTCCTCCAAAATAAAATATATTACTGTGTCCTTGTTATTTTGTTTAAAACGATTTACTGCGGATCATTTCTGCACTTTGTAAGGAAGAGCTTTATGTACACACATACAAGTACACGTTCGTCACAGCCTGTATGCATATATTGTACAATTTATATTCAAGTTTCACATGAGCAGGTGTTTCGTCCTGTCTTGTCGCATTGGCTAGAAACTTGTTCGTTCAGTTTCTATTCAATAAGAGGTAATACTTCAAAAGAGATGAAAACTTTAAAAAGATGCATTAAATCATTTCTGATAATTTTAGTCAATGAAGTATGAAAATGTCTCGTTCTGCACCAGTAAGCATTCATTGAAGATGACCTTGAAGCATGACGCCTCCGCATCGTAAACATGATATTTCGGGGCCGCGTTCCGTGGTTTTGATAAACACGGAAAGTATATTAACCGACTTGTGTAAGAAGTCACAAAGATGGATGTGATTTCCATGTTATAATTTGACATTTTTTCCCTAACGAGATTCGACCGTATTTACGAATCGTTAAATGCTTTCCAACGATGGACGATAAATTTGAGTTCACGGTTGTGTCTGTTTCCCTACTTTGATCATCTTGACCTCTGTCCAGCTTCTTAAACAAAGTGACCCGTTTAAGTTGCAGATCAGATAAAATACAAATATGAAACAAACGTCTCCACGATAGGGATAAATTATGTAATTTGTAACTGAGAATCACGCGGTGTTTGATACGTCTTGTCGAAATACCGAACGTCCATTTTTTCATTACAAGTTTTTCTCTAACGTTGACAACACCATGCGTTTTCCATATCCAGTCGATCATATCCATATATATAGATACACATGGGATATTTTGTAATTACGTCACGTGTTTATTTACTTGAATGTCTAAACAGTAATTGGATGTATAGGAATATGTAAGGAAGAAACAATGCGTTTAGAAAATCAAATTTTTAATTCAAAATTGATAAAAAAATGACAATAATGATAAAAACAAATGAACCAGGATTAATAAGGGAATTCTTGATGTACAAGAAATAAAACCAAATATTCCCGAACGGTAAATCTTCTACCTCTTGATCAACCATCATATAATCAGAAGGAAAAAGAGCAATCAATGGACTAGATATCTTAAACACTTCCCGTCGTTACCAACCCGCATTTCTCAAAATCTCAGTGTTGTAAGCTTATTCATCAGGTGTCGACATACCAAAGCAGTCAGCAAAAACCAAAAGAATTCTTCACCTACTTGAAGGTGCGATAGGGGGTTCCAACCCGCGGGAGACGATGAGTATATTACAAGCACGAGGCTTGCATTCTTTATTTGTTGTCCCAGTTCTTCGCGTCCTTGACGTGTCGTCATTGAATTGTTAATTAATTAATAGAATCTTTCACCCCCTTGGTGGTGAAAAATGTAGATCTTTATACCCTGTTAACTTTATAAGGTAATCGTATGTGGTTTTATTATCCAAATGAATCACATCGTTGATTTGTTTTATTTGTTGACGTCACGTCAAGGAATGTTACTGTGATGTCATATCATTGTCCTGGCAGAGGAATGCTCCCTCTCGCACATGGATGAGAAACGTGAAAAAGTGTGGATTTACCTCAAGCTTGCCAACTTAACACAACTTTACCGTCGGGTTGAGATCGGGGAGAAAAGTAAAAACTTTACAAGGTCTTTGTGACCTTTTATGATATACGAGAAAAGACGCCAGCCAATCAGAACAGGAACACACTTTAAAGTCCCAGTGGACTCGCCAATAATATGTATTGTCAAATACAAAAATTCGATCGGTAAACAATTCTTCGTTTTAAATGTACTTTTCACGAAACATGGTCTTATATTGCTCGCATCATTCATCTTTATTTGTGATGGGTGGCTAATAATAAGAGACGTGTGGTACGGTGAAATACGTTAAAACGTCTACAAATGAGATTTTTCGTCAGCGGATGATACAAACTTATTGAACACTCCTTGGAGTTCTTCAAAATCCACATCGCATGAATTCCACCTCTGTAATATAAGATTTCTCTCACTAAGACATTAACACTGATATATGGTACTGAGGATTCTGTTATTTCATTGTAAAGAGAAATTTAGGGGAAACCACCATTTGTCAAGACAAGGATATAAAATAATTTCATCAGCTATGGTGAAATTCAAGAATCAAGATCTGAGAAAGACCGAATACATATTTGAATGATTCGATCAGCTGGAAACACAAGGGGATTAAAAATGAATCCATAAGTTGTTAGTTTAATGGGAAATTTGATATTGATATTGATATGTATCATATATTGTTAGACAACGACGGTTCACGAAACGGATTTATTGATTTTTGTTTTAATAGAAGAAAATGTTCCGAACTATGATTTTCATGCGATATGTCAATGAGCTATTAAGCATAGCTTACGATATTTTATTGAAATCTGACATCCTCTGTATACGAATGAGCTGACAGAGTGTCTGAACAGCTGACGTTTATCATGTATATAGAGTTATCTCCAGTCCATTAAACTATAAACATGCTTGCAGACAATGATATGACTGATAAGAGACCAGTTTATGTTAAAAATCCATAGAGCGTTACGGCGAGGGCAGGTCCAGTGTATAATAGTAAAACCGACAGATCAACTTTTATGTCTATGTTAACGATCCACGCGAGTTACTCGCTGCTTTTGATATTTA